GAATTTTCTGGAAAAGGGAGGATTGGAACTGAGTGTTTAAGAATGATTAGAATTTGAAAGGCAGTGTAACGTGAGAACATTGGAATAACTAAAGGAAGGAAGGTGGCTAAAAGGAGTGGGTCAGATCAGTATTACTTTGTTGAATAGTGGAATATCTATATTAGAATCATCGGGGTGCTTATGACAATTATAAATTCTACCTGTACCTCTCACCCACCTCTCTTCATTCTGAATCTGTAGGTCTGGATTTACCTTTAAAGCAAGCTCCTTAAGTAGATTCTTATCACATGAATGGAGAATCTTGAAACCCTGGAAGGAACATGGGCAGTTGTGTGCAATTGAAAGCTATTTTCAGTTTTTGAAGAGGGAGAATGATGGCCTGATAGAAATGGAGTTTTAGGAAGGGTGTAGACTGGTGGTCTGCAGAATAGATTGATGGGAGTGAGTATCCAGAAGCAAGGGTGAGATGCTAAGAGTGCGCCAAAGTATTTAAGATGAGAGGAATGGAGAGTTTGCTCTATATTGGTAGCACCGGAAAAGAAGAATAAGCAGTGACTCCAAGAGGCATGTTGAGAGATGAAATGACAAGGCTTGGTGACAGACTGAATATAAGCATAATGGCAGGAAGGAGTTTGAAATAACTGTGTTTTAGAGACCCTAGGAAAATGGCAGTTCCACTGATGTTCATGCTATTTCTAATTTCAACCTGAGGTGACTGAAGTGTCAGAGAGGCATCTAGGTGAAGATGTGGACCGGCAGCTTGGACTTGAGCATGACTAAGGGTCTAGAAGACAAAGATGTGGGAGAATCAAGAGCATGCGGGAAGAAGAGGGGAGGAAGCCTGGAAACCTGAGTTTAGACCTTCGGAGACCAAGTAACATTTAGACAGGAGGAGGAAGATGAAGCAAGGAGAAATAAACAGAGAGATGAACAAAGATTGAATAATAAAGAGAAACCGAAGGAAGAAAAAGGTCTAAGGAGGTTAATTTTCATTATGTCAGATGCTCTAGAATTTGAGAAGGATGAGAACTGACCGTTCAATTTGGCAAAAAGGATATCAGATGAAAACTAATTTTTAAAAAGCGAAAATCTATAATACTTTCTGATGTGTGTGAAGAGATCTGTCATACTAGGAGTAAATGAAAACTCTTGATGACAAACTGTGTTGACAATTAATAAGCAAAACTATACTTCTGACAGATTGGGTCCCAAAAGGATAGTCTTCTATTGGAGAGCTGGGAAATTGGAGGTGGGTAGAGGGCAGTGGGGACAAGGAACTGGAGTTAAAAGGGAGAAATTTAGAAAAAGTTTCTAACTTAGAAAAAGAAGAAACTTACCAAGAAATCCTAACCTGTACATACTTTAATGATCTTGCTTACCAAATAAGGTTGCATTCATTATTTTAAAAGGTCCCATTCTTGCCTCTTGGTTATGGTGTCATCTGAGACAAACATGAAGTGCCATATAGAATAGAACCAGATATCGAAAGTGCTGTTTGTGTGCTACCTTAAAATACGGCGTCAGAGAAAAAACAGTCCCTTAAAACGCAGTATTCTTCCATTTCTTCCTTAATGACCTGGGGCGGGGGTGGGAAGAGATCCCCTTTTAAATGTAAAACGAAGTGCTAGAATGTACACTAGTGCACGGAACTAGTACAGGCCGATCTGGCTTGTCAGCTCCATTTGGTATTCTAATTACAGTGCTCCGTATCTGAGTAGAGATATCCATCAGGACATAAATTATACTAGGTGTTTAAGGGTTTTTAAATTACTTGAGAACTCCCAGTGTTTTCTGTTCTTCATCTACATTATACATTTGTGACTTTAGATGTTATATTCTTGAGAGTCTTTTGTGTGAACAAAGATGTGTGCTTTGGAATAATAAAGCAGGCAATCGTCAGATAGAATCATAAAATTTCTCTCATTTTATAGTTATTCAAAAGGAAAACAAAGGAAAAAAAGATTGGCTTAACAGTGATATGAGTGCTATTTTTTAAAAAATCCGAACTGAAATATCGGCGATCTATGTTCAGGGAACTTCCTATCATGGGAGTTTTTTATCTGTTGTAGTCGTTGCAGTTGAGTATTTTTTTAAAAAATCCGAACTGAAATATTGGCGATCTATGTTCAGGGAACTTACTATCATGGGAGTTTTTTATCTGTTGTAGTCATTGCAGTTGAACAAGTAAAATGAAATAGTTGGATGGCTCTGTAGACTGTTTTCCATACTATAAACAGAAGCATGACTTGTCAAGGGATATTTTTCCTTCTGAGTTGTGAATATTTTCTTGTATCAGGTTCTTTAAAACTTCCAAGAGTCTCTAAGTTCTCACATAACTGTTGGGTAAAAACTGCTCATCACCCAGTTATTTCTGCCTTCAGACTTCACTTAATCATCAATTCATCCTTAAACACACTTGTCAAGTTGCTGAAGCCCAGTGCTTCAAGAGGTTGTAAGAAATTGGCCGTACTCAGTTTTCTATGAAGGTTTAGCTGTCACTGTAGTCCTACTTGATGTCATGATTCATAGAAATAGATTGGTATCAAGGCCTATATTTCCTTCTGACATAGCAAGTGTCACCATTTCAAAATGATTTATAAAAAGCAAAGGAACCTCTTACTCAGTGACTCTGTTAGCTAAGTATGATCTCAAAGTAACTTTTCGTATCCTCTGTCAGTGGCTATTTTTTATCAGTCTTACCTTGTAACAAGCTTTTATAAATAGATACGAAACCTGTCATTTTAAGAAAGAATAATCGTTGGGCCATAAAATATTTAATTTTAGGATTTATTTACATCTCTCAAATGAGACTTACATATCATTATCTCTAATAACATTCATTTTAAAACATCATGTAAACCATTTTTTAAATTATAAAAGTGGTAATTATTTAAAGTATTTTTAATCAAAGGGTGTAGAATAAAATGTAGATATTCTTCCCTATTTTCTAGCTTTCAGTGCCACTCTCCAAAAGCTATTACTGTTAACAACGTCTTCTTTCTTTGCATGAATTATCTAAGCATATACAGTGTTACATATATGCATGCATACACACTCCTTTTTACACAAATTGTCACATAATGTATACTTTTCTGCACTCTTTTTTTTTTAATTCGCTTAAAATGTCTGGTCTATGTCATATCGTGATTCAGTTGGCTTTATTCTTTTTAAAAACTGTATGGCATTTCATCATATTTACATACCATAATTTATTGATGAGCAGCATTTACATAACTTTCAGTTTATATCTGGTTGTTGTTGAAGTGCTAGTGTTCTAACAACAAACAATGAATGTTCTTAGAAGAGAAATTGCCAAGTCAAGTAGCATGCATTTTAAATTTTGATGAGGTATTTCCAAGTTATCTTGCAAGAAATTGCCTATATTGTTGGAGAGTCTTCCCACATCCTCACCTATCAGTCTTCCTTTGAGATTTGGAATTTCTGCCATTTTAGTAATTGAAAATTGTGGTTTTTTGTTTTTATTTTTATTTGTTTGTTTGTTTGTTTTACTATGTCTCTGTTGGATTAGTGTGTTTTGAGCATTTTTTTCATAAGACTAATAACTATTTGTATATTTGTATGAATTTCTTATATAGTGTTCTTTGATTATCTGTCCCTTGCCATGTCCATTTTATGAAAGAAAAAGAAAGTATTACTAGGATAGGCTACCATTTAATAGATAATCCACCAACAGTTCACAGAAAACCATAAGTGTATATGTTCTACACATGAACACGTGTACAAACACTAACTCATTTGGAGCCTTAAAAGAAAGCCTGAAAAACAAAGTGTGGCCACATAGCCTAAGAAGAGAAAGAAGAGTCTGTCTGAAGATAGATATGAGGACTAGCCTGTCTTTCTATCAATTTTCTATTGCTACATAAAAAATGGCCAGAAACTTAGCAGCTCAGCTCACAATTTCCATGGGACAGGAGTCTGGGCAAGATATGACTGTTTTTGTTTGTTTGTTTGTTTGTTTTTGCTTATGTCTCACAGAGGTAAAATCAAGGTATTGGCTAGCTGTGCTTGATACCCTCTTCTAAGTTCATGAGGCTGTAGCGGAATTCAGTTTCTTAAAACTGTAGGACCAAAATCGTTGCTGGCTATCAGCTCGGGGCCACTCAGATCCTAGAGGTTACCTGTGCTCCTTGCTAAATGTCCCCCTCCAAAGCCAGCAAAGGAGAAGCTCCCTCACGTTAAGTCCTTCCTGTGTTTCCAATCTCCCTGACTGCTAGACCCAGATCTAAAGAGTTCATGTGATTCAGACAGGCCCAACCAGGTCATCTTTCTATCTCAAGGTCACCTGATTTGGAACAAATCAGAATGGCAAAATCCCTTCACAGCAGCATTAGTGTTTGATTAGTGTTTGATTGACTAACCAGGAGGAGGTGTGTGTATACCAGGGACCAGGAATCTTGGGGGCCATCTTAGAATTCTACCCACCACACCCTGCACCTGCCTTCCTCAAGGGAAGCAGACAGAGCTCATGTCTTTTGGCTGAGGAATTCGATCACACTGAAACATCAAATGCCAGAAGAAGGGGGCATGACTGGCATCTGTTTAACACTGAGCACAACAAAATACATCTGTGTGGGTCAAAGAGCCATGTGAGCAGAAAGTTGGAGAGAATATTCACACATATAATATAGGGGTCAGGCAGACTTTCCTGACCAAGGATCCAAACCAGGCATTTCTGACTCCAACATCTTCCCTCTTGACCCTCACACTGTGGCCCACCAGAAGTAAGTCACTCACTAGCTGCACAAACAAATTTTGAGTCCTCTAACCTTACTGTCTCTTCTTATGCCAGTGTGATCACACTGTAGTTTTGTGAGAGGTGGCCTTTGGTGTTCAATAGAACAGAATGAACAGACTGCAGCCTAAGTAGCTAAGCCACTGAAGGGAACTGTTGATGAACATTATGATAAAAGAATTCTAAAAAACCTCTCTCCCCCACTCTGTCTCTCTCTTTCATCTTCCCACCTGTTGCTGTGATTCAGGCATGTTATACGTGACTTGCTTGAGACCGAAGAGATTTATATAAAAGAAATTAAGAGCATAATTGATGTGAGTAAATTGGCGG